TGCTGCTTCTAGCTCCTCGCAGTTCATCCTGTGGGAGTCCTGGGCAGACAGGACAGGAGACTTCACCGCTATTTCATAGATCTGGAACCTGCGACATGCCCTGCTGGGCGGCAACAGTGCTGGGACTTTGGCTGCAATTTCTTACTCCTGTTCCAGTGTCTCTTCACTCTGAGTGACGTCCCAGTGTTGGGTCTGAGGACAGCAAGTGGCCATTCATCTCCCAGAGTGGCTTTTGTCAGGATGTTAGAGGGCTGCTAGATTTGGATATTCCAGGCTTTCCCATCTCAAAGACACTCCTCAGTTGTACTTTTGGCTCTGCCTGGCTGACCCTCCTCTGGGCTGAAGACCCCAAGTCACAAGAAGCCAGATGCACTCGTGTCATGCCCAGGACTCCTGGCTCCCCCCTAGACCCTGTAAAACTTTGCTTTTGGACAGCTTAGAATGGACTCAGCCAGCACTTGGCTTGTTGGCTGCGTGAGTCCAGCCCCCTCTGCGGTTATGAGGCATCAAGTGAACCGATTCCTCTCCTGCCTCCCAGCCAGGACCCGGCAGTGGGAAGTGGTGGTGTCTGAAATCAGCTCTGATTTAACATGGATTGTGAGACCCAGAACGTGGCCGGATGGTTGTAACAACACACATTTTCACAGTACTAAGCGGACACTGTGCTCAGCTCTGTGCCAGGCACTGGAGAGGCGAGGAGGACACTGATGTGGAGGGAGGCGGGGCCTGTCCTGCAGGTACTTGCCATCGAGGTGGGGACGCGTGGCGGGACACAGGACAAGATAAATGGTGATTTTGCTGTCTGTAGGCAGGACTAGCTGCAGACTGTTTCTAGAGTATCTGAATTTAAAAATGCTTGATGTGAATTTATCTTCATTATTAAACTCATAAGCCTATGTGGCAAAAAAAAAGGTAGATAGATAGATGGATGGATGGATGGATAGGTGGATAGATACGTAGATAGATAGACAAATAGATAGATAAGTGGGTGGATGGATGGATGGAAAGAATGTAATTAAGTGCTAACTAAAGACTGTCCTGAACGTTCAGAGAAGGGCAGGGGTGGTCATGCTGAGGCTTCTTGGAGGAGGACTGGAGCCATTGGATTAAAATAGGGGGCTTTTTTAAAGTCTCAGAATCCTTTCTTAAAATGATGTTTTAGATTCATTCAGTGTATAAAACAGGTGTGCCAGGGGTGGCTGTCGAAGGGGGTAGGGAGCCTGCGCTTTCCCCATCTATCCCCTGGCCCCACTGCCAGCAGCCTCCCCACGGCCCCACCCAGGAAGCACAGTGTTCTGATGAGGCTGTGGCCCGTTGTGTGGGCCCAGAAGTGTCGCCCACCAGCTACGGGGGCACAGCAGGCTTCTGCCAGCCTCTTGTACTGTTTGAAGAGCTGGGTCGCCCCTCCTGTCAGACAGGACGGAGAGGGCGCCCCGTGCTCCCACAGGGCTAGGGGCTCGGTTGTCTTGGAGGAGCAGCAAAGTTGCTCCTTCCCAGGGGGTGGTGTGCTGCTCCTTGTTGCGAGAGGGGAGAGAGTGCAGCGGTGAATTAGAGGTGGGCCAGCAGGTGTGCAGATGACCACGTCCCCATGCAGTGAAGGCTCTCCTGGAGGGGGTGTGTGTAGAGCCCCCACGGGGACACACAGAAAGTCAGAGGGTGACGTCTGGTTCGTAGTTGGCCGGATGTCGGAGGGGGAAGTGCGAGTCCCAGCAGGGGCGACAACATGAAGCAGAGCATAGAGGAGTCCAGGAGCTGGCCCTGCAGTTCATGGGGCCACTAATACCCATGTGAGCAGTGCACAGGTGCTCAAGGTCGTGGGGAGAGGTGGCCACACAGAGGCATTTGGATTGATGGCACGGACAGTCGGGGCAGGGTTCTTTGTGGAGGATGATCTCTTTGGCAGTGCTGAACTGCGAGACCAAGGAAATCTCAGGAGCTCATCTGGAGCCTCCCAGAGGGTGGCTGTTGGAGCACTTGCCCCAGCCCAGAAAGGATGTGGTTGGGTTGAGAAATTCCGCTCTGGGTCACTCACGCTGATGGAATGTCAGCAGCCGCAAAGATAACAGCCTGAGTTGGTAGAAGTGACTGTATGCCAGCTCAGCTTTCGGCCACTTCTGTTCCAGGCACATGGTGTGGTTGGGTTTGGCATGGACCCATCCTGGCTCTCAGGGATGCAGGGAGCAGGAGGGGGAAGGGGCCCAGCACAGAGGAACCTGCTGAAGAGCGGGCGCGTCTGGGGAGATTGGGTACCAGGGGAATGCTGCCGGGCTAGTCTGCCCAGGGAACTGCCCCGCAACCAGCCCAGCCCTGCATCGCCCTGCCCCTGGGGACTCTGCTGCTCTGGCTGCCTGAGGGGAGGGGCAGCCTTGGAATAGACTGAGCCTGGATGTTCTGTTCTCTGTCCCCCCAGGAAGGGTTTTCATGCCTCACCAACACCTGCTGTTGCAACACTGGTCCCCCCTCTACACTCATGCTTCTCCTCTCTCGCCCAACTCCCAACCATGTCCCACCCCACCCTCCTTGTCATCAAACACCAGCCCCAGCAAGAGCCCTTATCTGTTCTTTTCTTGCACTAAGTCTGGTCCAAAAATACTGCACTTGGTTCTCTGGGCAATTTGTCATTTTTAGCTTGTTACTAATTGTTACCTTGAAGGCAGAAATTGTGTCTTCTACTTCATATTCCTAAAGCAGAGGCTCCTAATGCTTGTGAAGTGTTAGACCCTTTGAGAATCTGAGAAAGGAGATTTGGGATGAAAGGAGAGTTGGGATGGCAGGACCAGTTTCCCCAGCAGCTGCCCACCAGGGTGCTGAGGTCACGTTCCTGCCCAGGCCCGTGCAGGCCACACTGTGGGGACCACAGTTTCTGCCCTCAGGACCTTGTAGGCCGCTGGGCAGTTGATTAGTAGAAGTTCTAAGAAGGGTGCAGAGCACCCTGAGGGTCTGGGAAGGCTTCCTGGGGAAGGTGGGATTTAAAGTCAGACTTGGGGATGGATGAAAATGGAGAGGAGAGGCCTGACTGGGGGAGGTGGGGAGGGGGTGTGGCGCTGTGAGCAGGGGCAGAAAAGGCACATGGGATTTTTGAGGAAAAGTGAGGAAGAAAAGTAATACTTGCCCAGAACCCAAACCCTCTCCTCTGAAGAGAACTGGGGCAAATTCCACCCTGATCTTCATTCTCTACCAACAAGTCACAATCTAAGTAAAACAAGGTGTGAGAAGACAGGAGCAGAGTGGAGCCGTCGTGAGGCCCAGGTCTCAGTGGGAGGCAGGGGACGCCAGGGCCCTGAGGGAGGGAGAAGGTCAGAGGGAAAGCCCCCAGCTGGAGGCTGCCCTCCCTGTCTGGGGCCTGCCCCTGCTGCAGCCTCAGATCCTGGGGATGCTCCCTGTCTGGATGCAGGACTCAGATCCTGGGGATGCTCCCTGT